CTGTATACATTACTCTACGGTGCACTGTGGTCTCCTGGAGCAGGAATACTTCTCAAGTATTCACACTGCTGCTCCTAGAATTGATCCATCCAACAGTCAGTTCTGTTCCCTGGTTGCAGAGATAGGGGAGGAAGGAATGGAATGCAGAAAGGACAGCAGAGCTAAGATCGCAAGGAAAAACAGGTTGCTTACCTGTAACTGATGATCTTCGAGTGGTCATCTGTGCATTCACACCCATGGGATCTAGTGCGCATGCGCGGGGTCGATCGGCATTGTAGCAAGCTCTTAACGGATTTTCGCACCCAGACCTTGGGCATGCGCAGGAACCCCACCGCGCATGCCCAGAGGGGTGGGCACGGACATCCCGCCAGTTCCTTCAAACTGCCGCAAATCAACCTCTATGAAAAATGTAGAAGCTGACAGCAGTGGGGAAGGAGGGCGGGTGGTGTGAATGCACAGATGACCACTCGAAGATCATCAGTTACAGGTAAGCAACCTGTTTATCTTCGACGTGGTCTCTGTGCTTCACACCCATGGGAGATTAGCAAGCAGTGGCCTACCTGGAGGAGGGTGCTGGCAGGTCCTTACTGCGTAGCCAAAGATAAGATGTGACGTCCCATGTTGGTACTAGAGTTCTTTCGGACGTCTAGGGCATAGTGCCTTATGAAGGTGTTAGGCGTAGCCCACGTAGCAGTTTTGCAAATGTCTGTCAGGGGAACTCCCTGGAGGAAGGCAGTGGAAGCTGCAAAAGCTCGGGTTGAATGGGCCCTGATCAGTGTTCCCTCTAAGCTGAGTTAGTGTGAGCTAGCTCACAGTTTTTTTAGCCTCCGGCTCACAGATTTTTGTCTTGGCTCAGGAAGGATGGCTCCAGAACACACTAATTTATGCAGTAGCCAAATCACCTGCTCACAACTTTAATGCCAGTAGCTCACAAAGTAGAATTTTTGCTCACAGGACTCTACAGCTTAGAGGGAACATTGGCCCTGATAGGGCCAGGCAATGGCTGTTTGGCGATCAGGTAGCAGAGGCGGATGAGCCCCGCAATCCACTTTGAGAGGTGCTGAGCCGTGATGCGAGTCCCCAGCCTTGCTGGTGCGTACGAGATGAACAGTTGGGTGTCATGTCTCGCTGGGCGGGTTCTGTTCAGGTAGAACAGGAGTGCACGTTTCACATCCAGGGTGTGTAACAGTCTGTCCTCTGAGGATGTTGGAGCCGGGAAGAAATCTGGGAATAGGTGGAATTCTGACGCTACCTTTGGCAGGAACGAGATATCAGGTACGAGGCGGACACCATCTGGCAAAAAGGACAAGTTAGGCGTGTCATGTCTGAAAGCCAGTATTTCTCCAACTCGCCTCGCAGAGGTGACAGCAACCAGAAAGGCCATCTTCCACGACAGGAATTTTAGGTCGCAAGTTGCGAGTGGCTCAAAGGGTTTCCTTGTGAGCTGACGAAGAACTAGAGGAAGGTCCCAGGGAACGACAGTTTTGATGGGAGGGTATAGGTGCAACAGTCCCTTCAAGAAACGTTTTGAAAGTGGATGCGAAAACAGTGTGCACCCCTCAACTTTATTTATTTAAACACTTGAACATGGTGGGCCGAAAGTGTAGCCAAATAAACTCTTAACGAGGAGTGAGAGAGTCCCGAGTCAGCAAGGGATAGGAGGAATTGGAAAACTTTCTCGAGACCCACGGAAGTGGCTCGAGGGATGTCGTCACCCAAATAGGAATGGGATTTTTGCCATTTGTAATGGTAGGACTTTCGCGTAGTGGGTTTTCTGGCGTTCAGCAAAACGTTTGCTATGCGGGTGGATAAGCTGTTGACGCTATTCTCCAGGCTGTCAACTTTATCCGTGGCACGTCGTGGTACAGGAGAGGGGATTCAGACAGGAAGAGAAGGTCCTGTGCCGGAGGAAATTGGTGGTAGACCCCTGCTGACAATTCGAGTATGGTTGAGAACCATGGTTGCCTCGGCCACCACGGGGTTATCAGGATGCAGTCCGCTCCGTCGCTGATAGATTTTGCGGACCACTCTCAGAAGCAAGGGTAGTGGAGGAAAGAGGTAGAGAAGTTCCCTGGACCAGGGATAGAGGAGACCGTCCCCAAGAGACTGTGGGTCCCTGCTGCCTCGGCTGCAGAACAGAGGACACTTTTTGTTGGCTCTGGTGGCACAAACATCGACTTGGGGAACTCCCCACCTGCAGAAGAGTGGTAGAAGGTAGGTTGGGTTCATTTCCCACTCGTGGAGACTGAGTCCTGCTTGACTTAGATGGTCTGCCTGCACATTCATGTGTCCTGGGATGTGCATGGCTACCAAGAAGACGTCGTGGGCGATGCAAAGGTCCCATAACTGGATGGCAAGGTTGCAAAGGCGTAGGGAGACCGTACCTCCTTGCTTGTTGACATAACTGAGTGCAGTGGTGTTGTCCGTGAGGACCGTAACACATTTCCCCTAGGAAACTCGTGACAGCAAACTGTATTGCAAGCAGTTCCAGGAAGTTTATGTGCCGTTTTTGTTCGTGAGTGTTCCACTTGGCTCCGACACAAAGACCTATCATGTGGGCACCCCAGCCCGACAGGGAGGCATCCGTGGTTAGGGTGATTTGGGGTGATGGATGTTGGAAAGGTGCTCCCTGGAAGAGATTGGGACAGTCCATCAAAGTAAAGAGACTAGTATGTTGGGAGGAGGGGTTAGGATGGTGGTATGTGCGTTTTCTGTTGGGTTGTACTTGCGGATAAACCACAGTTGTAGGCAATGCATTCTTACTCTGGCAAAGACCAGGACCGACGTAGTTGCGGCCATAAGGCCAAGTAGTCTCTGTACTTGGAATGGGTCATTCTCTTGACGATGGAATGACCTGGGGGTTGGGAGGACGACTGAGTTCTGGATTATGGTGGGAAGGATCATTGGCCGGAGGACGAGACAGAGATGCTGAAGGTCTAGATCTGTAGGGCAACCTTGACATGTGGGCAGAGTGGGTCAAGTAACGATCCCAGTCAGAATAGCCCGCCGGAGTCAACCACAGCATAGATGGTGGATAGCCCCCATAGAGATACCTCAGTTGGCGTAGGTCCCAAGACAGAGGTGGTGGTGGGGGTAGAAAGACGTGGGGGGAATTGACTTCTGGATCAGGTACGTCTCGGAGACAAAGCAGTAGCTCGCCTTTGAGTGCAGTCCCTATAAACTCGGTCATCAATATCGACAGGTTCAAGAAGCAGACGTGGAGGGTGACGCTGCATGCCATTAGACACATGTCGATTCCGACGTGAATCGATGTCGGGAGCCTCTGACACCGTTGATGTCGACGACGGGAAAGGAGAGGAAGAAGGCTCTGCATCCATGGGACGACTAAGGAGCCCCACCGTCTCAATATCGGAGTAAGGACGCTCCAGCTGTTGTATAGGGGAGTCCAGGAGCTGAATGGTCGGTATCGGCAGAGCGGCATGGACCTCCGATGCCGATACTGCCGTTGGAGCGGGAGGCACTTTAGGGGCATCACCCAGTGCAGACACCGCTACCTTCCCCTTCTTTGCTGCCTTTAGGGACTTAGAGGAGCCCTTTTTTGCGGACTTATGCTCCTTACTTGACTTGGCCCTCTTCCTCACCGGAGTGGAAGCGGACGATTGTGCCTTTGATGCCGGTGGTTTCGGTGTCGGTTGGCCGATGTTGGAGGAGGGCCTCGATGCCAGAGCCGTCAAAGTTGATGGTCTCTCGGACTCCATCACTGAAGGAGGATATAACGCCGACTCAAGTAGCGCCACTTTGAGGCGCGCAGCTTGGTTTTTTCGTGTCTGGTTCGAAAACCTAGCACAGGTGAGACTCTCCCAAACAAAAAATATAGAGGGTGTGGCAGTCAGGAGGAGCGAGTTTACTGCCGCAGCCCTTGCAGCGGTTAAAAAATCCCCACTTTTTCTCCATAAAAAATAAAGAACGGAGGAAAAGAAGGGGGGTGGGGGGGGTGCCCGAAGGCCAAACTGAGGCAACTGGCAACTTCCCCCTCAGGAAGAAACAAACAAAATTTTTTTTTTTTAAGAACAAACGAAGAAGACTAAGAAGAAAAAAGAAACTGAGGAAAAAATCCAAAGAGTCGTGAGGGCAAATAGCCCAAAAAGCGAACCGATCAGACCAACGAGGAAAAGGTCTTTCCAACGCGGCGGTAAGGAACTGGCGGGATGTCCGCGCCCACCCCTCTGGGCATGCGCGGTGGGGTTCCTGCGCATGCCCGAGGTCTGGGCGCGAAAATCCGTTAAGAGCTTGCTACAATGGCGATCGATCCAGCACGTGCGCACTAGATCCCATGGGTGTGAAGCACAGAGACCACGTCGAAGATCATCCTTGTTCACGCTCTTCAGTTGCTTCCACATGGAGGTTTTGGTCCATGTTCCCCAAAAAACTGCACTGGCGCTTGGGGGACGGGGGCTTCTACACATCATTGCTGTGCAATCATTCACCTTCTGGGTGTCCCCTGGCTCCGTTGTGCAGTTTCTCAATCCAGCTTTGGTACACTCTTCCCTGAAAAATTGTACTAAAGTTGACTTGGTTACAGTGTGAAGGTGTAGATTTCCACACCTTGCCACATCTGGCAGCATCCCTTCTCTCCACCACCAGCTAACTTTTTGCTGGTTTTTTAAAGAAAAATTGGTAGTTGGTATATTGCTATAGCATGATAAGACTATAGTTACATCCCTAGCACTGTATTTTTTAAAAAACCCCAAAACCCTGCTGCTGGCAAAGGGTCTGAATGGCAGGTGCCCAGGGGGAACACAAATACCTTCATCTGGAGGCACAATGGTGAATCACCTCCACATGAAAGCAACCTTAGTGATGCTAGGTCTTGTATGCCCTTTAAGATCAGGTGCAGCTAGAAATTAAACCCAAATTAAAGACCACCCCCACCCCCTACAACAGCCAGTAGCTATAGTCACGTCGGCAGGTGTAATACAAAAGCCACAGATCTCTCTTCTTGCTTGTCACTTAATAAGCCAGACCAACAGCAGTTGGGAGTACAAAAATAAGGTATTTTTACAATTGTATCAGTTATCAAACCAACAAAGAAACAAAAGCAGTGGTAAAAAAAGTTACAAAGTGCAGGACCGGCCCGACTGCACACCCTTTGAGAATGCGCCCCAGCATCCCCCACAAGGCAGCAAGGCTTTCTGGGGCAGGTTTCTCAGGCTGAGCGGAACAGACCCTGGCACAACAGGCAGCACAAACGTCGCTGACTGCCTCCGACACAGCTCTGGGGCCGCCTTCTCTCTCCTTTTGTGTTTATACCCCAGTAAGTGTCATGCATTCAGTTCAGCTTCTGATCACTCTCTCTGCTGGCAGAATATGAGTAAGCTTTCCCCAGCACCAGCCGGTCCCGCAGGAGCTTGAAGAAGGCATAGTAGTTGCTGAAGAGGATCAGGGCCAGGGAGATGGTCTGGTGCCACTTCTCTGATGTGATCAGTGAGTAGAGCTGGTAGAAGATGACTGCCCCTTCCAGGAGAATCAGGATGTTCAAGATCCTCAGGGGTTTGCTGAAAAAGAACTGGAAAGGCCAAGGGATGGCTGTCAAGGGTCTGCAGTGCCCAAGGAGTTGTCTGAACTTGCAAGACAATTACAAATCTGAGTTTCTTACCCAATAAATAAATAAATGTTTATAAATGAAAAGGGGTTCTATGGAATGCACAGAGTTCTGAGCATTGATAGCGAAACCCCCAGAATGTCTTCTAACCTTCTTTTCTTACTGTCTGGGGCATACCCTGGAGTTGCTCAGATGGCTCTCAGGTGGTCTTTTATTTATTTATTGAATTTTTACCCCGCCCTCCCAGCCGAGGCCGTCTCAGGGTGGCTTACACAAAAACAACACATAATTACAATAAAGCATTAAATATAAATTAGATTAAAACAACTCTAAAACCCTTTAAACCACACAATATAGTAAAGTGATAGTGGCATTAATTTAATAATGGCTGCTGTTATTCAGTTCTCTCGTCTCAAAGTCTGATCTTCTTTAATTCTCCTTTCGGCGGCTGGCTCAGGCTGTTGTTGGAGTTCCAAGAGAAAACAGGGCTCTCTAACCTCAGCAGTTCTTAATGGTAGTGGCAGCTCCAAAAGCCTGGTGGAAGAACTCCGTTTTACAGGCCCTACGGAACTACAAAAGATCCTGCAGGGCCCTGATCTCCTCTGGGAGCTCGTTCCACCAGAGAGAAGCTGCCACTGAGAAAGCCCTGGCCCTGGTTACTGCCAGCCGGGCCTCCTTAAGACCCGGGAGGGCCAGTCTGTTCTGAGCCGCTGATCACAGTGCTCTCTGGGGTACATGTGGGGAAAGGCGGTCCCTCGGGTATGTAGGACCCTGATCATGTAGGGCAGGGGTGGCCAAACTGTGGCTTGGGAGCCACGTGCGGCTCTTTCACACATATTGTGCGGCTCCCGGCAGGGCAGCTGGGGAAGCAAAAAGGAGGCATGCCTCCCTAGCTGGGCTTCCCTTCCCTAGCCAGTGTTTCCCTCCCTGGGTAGGCTTGAGGTGTGGGGGGGGGGAGCAGAGAAAGAGAGCAACTTAAACTTTAAATGCATTCTCAAAGCCCCCCCCCCCCGCCAACTTGGAGAAGGCATTTGTCTCTTTAAATCCCTTCTCCAAGCCAAGCCAGCTGGCGTGAGGGTCGCTTGGAGGATACTTTCAAATGTTACAGTTGCTTTCTTTCCACCTGTCAGACCCTTGAGTCAATCCACTCTCAGCCTAATAGTCTTTTCATGAATGTACAGCAGGAGCCAGAGACACACTTTTCAGGAAGCTCTGCTCCCTGCAGTGATGTTCAGGAAGCAACCTGAGGCACACGTGCCTAACTTATGGGAATCTGGTTGCGGAATGCACTTCTGAATGAGGGCTCCTGAATCATGCCTGCAACATCGATATGAGAAGAATGGCAAAAGCTTACGTGAAACCGGAAGTGGGAGACATCAGAAGGCACCGCCACATTGTAATGGCCCACTGCTTTGTAGACGTTTTTGCTGTGTTTCACCAGCACCCCCTGCGGCCACATGCACTCCTCTGTCCACCTGCAAAAGAAGTTGCCAGCTAACATGGAGCTCTACCCCACCATGTTCCCAAGGGTGGGTACAGAGGAACAGAAGACTAATTCAGTGAGCTTTTGCTCATGCAAGGGTTAACCATCTTTAAAAGGGGACTGTTCCAAATATTTGCTCAGATACTTATGTGCAGTTTGAGTGAGCATGACAGATAAGATTTAAAAAAATCTGAGCGCCTTGAACCTGTCTCGATATGAAGGCTGTTCTAAATGAGACAATAACTTTGCCAAGGCAGACAAGGAACAGCAGGGAATCAGCGACAATTAACAAAATGCTGTCTCAAGGGCATCTAGAGAGGAAGTTTGTCCAGGACTGCCAGCTCTTTACTGCTACCAGGCCTATTGCACAAAACATGCTGGCAGGGGCTCTGGGCTCAGGTGGCTTTAAAAAAGGACTAGAAAAATCCATGGAGGACAGCTCTATCCACAAGCATTAGCAATGATCATCCAGCACACCCTCGGGTTCAGAGGCATTGTTTGGTGCCTCTTTAAGCCAGCTTGATGGGAATGAACAATGCAGGAGAGCTTCTGTACTCTGGCTTCCCAGAAGCACTTGGCTAACCAAAGGTTTGTACAAAAATCTGGAATGTCTAGAAATGTTATATCTACAGAAAAAGGGGGGGTGAATTATATGCAACACCTACTTATCATTGCTAAACATATTTCACTACTTTAAGAACATAAAATGCATAATTTAGAACGTAGCATATGAAACTGCACTATTTGGTGTATTTCATGAATGTAAAGGTATGAAAAGCCTTAGTTTCCCAAAAGCAAAATTGTGACTTTACAGAGTCCTTGACAGAGAGAGCGCTGTGAAGTGCTGTGGGCTAAATTAGTCACATTCGAACAACACACTTTAGAAAGTATGCTGTTTTTGTTATTACTATTTTCCATAAATATTGCTAACATATATAGTGTTAAAAGTATGGTTTATGTGTCCACATTATGCACCAAGAATAATTCTCTAATACTGCAGATTGTCTTACATAAGCATCTGCATTTTAAGTAAACCCTTCCCTTTAAAAAAGCATTTCACTCATTCCAGAAGCGAAATCAATGCATATTTTTAATGCTCCCCAAAACTGGGGAGAAAAAATCCACAGAGAAAAAAAAAAATTCTCCTCTGAGTTTTTCAGTTCCCCCCCACCTAGGTTCACAACCTCTCTTTTCATTTAACATGTGTCAGACGGCTTTTTAAATGGGCAATACAAAGTGGGGCCAACACAAAGGCTGGCACGTAGACCACTCTACTCTCCATCAGTTCTGATTTAAGAGTGACAGCTCCATATTGCCGCCCCCCCCCCAGTGAATTCAGCTTTCAATTCACACCTTGAAAGTGTACCCAAGGCACAGGGAAAGGAGCAAAGAAACTGCTATTCTAAAATATATGCAGATGGCACAGACCAGGGAGTTTCAAATGGTATGTTCTTTGGAGGCTTATCAAGAGTTGCCACCATGAAGAGACCAGCAACACTAAGCTGACTTTCCTGTTCTCCATACCCTGTGCAGTTGCCAAGGTGAACTGGCTGTCTTTTGAGGACATGCATTAGGATGCAAGACTCAATGAGTCTAGCCAGAATCCCACATGAACAGAGGTCGCAACGTAGAATGCAATGCAGGGGGGTTCTGAGGCAGACAAGCTGATGTACAAAGAGTTCTCTATAAGAACCACCTTTGAAAAACTAAAACCCCAACAAATAACAATAACAAAGGATACTTGTCTGCCAAGCAATACAACGAAGGGCCCATCTGCTCCATGAGAAAATCTGACACCTGAAGTAAGGTTTCAAAAGAGATGACGGCCAGCTCGGTCTGTGTGTTACCAGCAGGTGACTTACTGGTGCTGCAGCACATTGGAGCAAAGTGCCGGGTCGACTTTTTGCCAGCAGCCAAGATGTGCTGCAGCCTTGTGGAGAAGGTCACAGTAGCGGGCCGGCAGTAGATGCTGCATGAGGATAACAGAGGTGCTTATGGACACCAAGAGGAATAGCTCACAGGACCACCGCTTGTCGTAATACTGCGTGCTCTGCAAATGGAAAACAAAGAGAGTGCGGAAAGTCAGCTCCGACAGTAGAACTGGAATCCAAAGGACTGCTGTGCCTACTGGGGGCAAGGCAGCCTAGAAGAGGCTTCTGTAACCCCAAGGGCCACAGGTGAAGATCTGAGGGCAAGGAGGGTACCAAAATCCAACAGAACTTAATTTCAAAACCCAATACTGAAGGAAAGCTGTACAACAGCCTGGCAAAGAAATCTGTAAGATTTACTAGCCCATTTACTAGATTGTTAGTATATCAGTCTTATCCCAGGGCATGACCCCTCCCAGGTGCCAGGTCACTGTGGCACCTAGACATTTCATTGAAGAGACTATTATTTTTCAGCCCTGATTTTATTGTTGTGGGTTGGCAATCCTCAGCAGAAGTATGAAGCTTATTTATCATTTCACCCCACATCACAGAATATTTTGTTGTATGGCAGAAAAATGCATTTGCATGAAGTTCTTCTCAAAACATGTCTATATGCTAACTTTACACCATTCAGTGGTGAGATTAATTCATTTATTGACCACTTGCTTTCTATACTGGTTCCAATATTGATCTTTTTAAAAGCAATAATGAAATTATGAGAAACTGGGGAGAGGTCAGGATTAGAGGTTAACTTTGTTGTGTCCATGGCAACTAGGGTTGCTGCGTATTTATTTATAAACTGCAACACTGTTAGCATACCTTTAATAAAATTACAAGAAACTGTAAAGAATTTAGGATTAGATTTTCTGGTAGCAATAAGTAGAAAACATTGTAATTTAAAACACAAAACCCAGACGCTGGAAAATGAGTCTGATTCCTAAATTTTGGGCAAAAAAGATAAAAAGAAAAACTTTCATAAAGCTTGCCTGCCTGATCACCAGGAGAAGATTCTGATACAAGTGAAAAGGATACAAGGTCTGCTTTAAAGAACAATGGCAATTCAATCTTAAGCATTCACTAGAAAGGTAAAGGCAAGTATTTTTCCACCTTGGTACAAAATCAAGGAAACAGGATGTAAAACTTGAGTTTTGGTAGGCCAGTTCTTGTTCGGAAGTTCCCATCTTCAAATTCACTTTAGCTCAAGTTTCAAACTTATAACCTCAGATATGTCAGTCAGTCACAAGCACACGTGAAAAACACAAGACTTTTTTTTGCTGGATCACACAACCTTGTCTAGTGTTCTGCTTCCATCAGCAACTAGCCAGTTCCCACTGGAAGTTCAGAAGCAACAGAGTGGCTGGCTGCATTCTAGAACACACACTGGAATGTGAGACTTAACTATGCTGGCAACCAGCACCCCATGTTAACTGATTCCTTTGCTGGCTACTGTCTACCTGCTGAGATTCAAAGGGAGACTGGTTCTGAACATGTAGCTATCAGGGCTAACATTAATTGATCAAGCTACCTGATATGAATCTGTTTATTCTCCATATTGCAATCTTCATTGAGAAGCCTGTTACTCAACAGGCCTTTACACACATGGGCTCACAGCAGGTCAAGAGTATAGGTTGTACTGAGCCACAAATGCAACCCGTCACTCACGTACCTTCACAAACCAAACAGGGACGAATGCCACATAGTAGGCGCTGAGCATGGAGCTCACCAGCACCTCCTTCATGCGCCAGTTGAAGTCCATCTTCAGGTATTCCACCTCGTTGCGGATCAAGTCTGGAGAGAGGCAGCAAGCATGGGTGGGCATAGCCTCTGTGCTGTACATCTGTCGGGCGTGCTGCTTCCAGGTCTCCTTGAGGACAGACAGGTAGTCCTTGCCCTTCGAGTTGGCATCCCCTGTGTCACGAGGGCCGATGTTGGTGACGTGGGAGAAGAGACTCACCTTGCGGAAGTCACAGTTCAGCTGCAGGAAGGGGACGTACATGCCAAACCTGGAAGAGGAGGAAGTGGTACCTGAATTATTTCTTATATGGCAACATCAAAGTCTGTGGCAGTATAAGGCACACTAAGCAGAAGTGACACCCCCGTTCCATGAAACTGAATGTTGATGGCAGGGGAAGGGAGGAGGAAAGACAGGGAGGGCCATCAGGGGAAGAATGTGCACAAAAAACCTGCTGGGGTTTATTTCAGCTGGGGGCCAGAGCTGAGGGCTCCAAGGAAGGGCACGTCCTGCAACTCTGGCAGGCCCATCCCTGACTCTGCTGCTTAAAGCAGCAGTCACTCTTAGCTTAATTTGGCTACAAGAGCATGCAGCTCCATGGCAGACCAATGCACCACATGCAGGAGGTCTCTGTTTCATGCTCGGCACTTCTGATGTAAAGCCACTGTGACGGGAAGGACATTTAGAAAGATGGAGACTTTGGACAGCTACCGCCGCCCAGGGGTCATTTCACAGAAAAAGAGCTGCAGGAGCTCATTAGCATACCTGCTATTAGCATAAGCATTAGCATATGCCACGCCCCCTGACATCACCGGAAGTGTGTCAGAAGGGGAAGCAAAAAGGGGAGGGGGAGGCATCTTCAAAAGCCTCCCCTTCCCTTCCCCAACTGGCCTGCCAAGGCAGGGTGGCGGGGAAGCGGAGAGAGAAGAGGTTTAAAGTTTAAACCCCTTCCCTCTAGAGTCGTGCCGCAGGGGTGGCAGGATCTTTCCATTGTATTCTATGGCCCGGCTGCGGGGCACTCGGAGAAGATTGCGCAGGGAAGCCAGGCATTTAATTCTCCCCCTCCGGAGGGGGCAGGGCCTGGGCTCGTTACTGCCGAAGCGTTGCTCCGGGGCGCTCTGGCAGGAAATGACTATTGCCGCTGCCGATTCAATCGGAGAGTACTCAGTTATACAGACTGTAGGCCAGAAGACAGCTTCCTGTTTTTCAATACACCACTATTTCACCTTTGAAGCTGCTCTTAAAACTTCATTGCATCTGAAATGAGCTCCAATTCATGAAAGCTCATGCTGAAATAAAAAATGTTAGTCTTTAGGGTGCCAATGGACTTCTGTTTTGTTTTGCTTACAAGTAAAGCAACTTAATGCTCAGGGTGCTACGCACAAATGCTGCAATTTGAGAGCCCAAAATATGGTACTGCACACAACATCCAGAAAAATTTGGTGTAAAACAGCAAACTTCTCTCTCTTATGGCTGTGAAGAAATGCTTTATAATTGCAGTTTTTATGAAGAAATGTAACATGTAGCTGCTAAGATTCCATTTTACTGAATTCAGTTTTTCCGGGAACAGAATCTAGATTGATTCTGGTTTTCTAGCATGGTGTAGACGCAGCATTAGTGATCCCCCCCCCCGCAACCTCACAGAACACCTGCCATGCCTTTGGAAACCTGTTTGCCTCTACCCACCCTGCTCCCAGAAAGGAATAGAAACAGGAGAAGAGCAGCCCAGACTTACGGGTAACACAAGAACAAGAGGTTGAGCAGCGAATGTGTCCGGAAAAGATGGATTATGGATCGGCACAAACTCCAGCCCGTGCCAGTAAGGACAGCAAAGCGAGTGACCACAAGGAAAACGGAGCGTGGCAGGGAGACTTTGCCAGTATGGGAAGCCTGGAGTAAGAAGAGCAAGAGGCAGATGAGACTTTCCTCTCCCTTTGCAAAAAGATCAGCCACACGTCTGAGTCCCACGTACTGGTTCTGGCCTTCAAAGTTCATCCCCTAGATAGGCTTCTCTCCATCCCAATTTAAGAGCCCGGAGGGATCCCTTGCTGAGGGTGCCAGTTCTGCCTGACCCCAACTGATGAAAGCAGTGAGGTGTAGTAGTCAAGTGTTGGACTGGGATCTGGCAGAATCCTACTTCGAATCCCCACTCTGCCATGGAAGTTCAGTCTAACCTACCTCACAGGGTTGTTGTGAGGATAAAATGGAGGAATGATTTAAGAAGAGATTAAACACATATATATGGGGAAATGCTTCTATTCAAGTAGCTCTGATCTTCAGAACTCTTAACCCAAGAGAAACTCAGTGCAACTTACTTATTTATCCAGAAAAATTTATATGCTGCCTCTCCAGAGACAGCAACACAGTTGTAAAACCAACGGCTAAAATCAAGCCAGGGGCATAACAACAGCACAAAACAAACTTTGAGCAGCTTCAAATGATATCCCTAAAACAGTCCTCAGGCTAGAAGCAGACCATAAAACAGGTTAGAAACAAATGGAATCCCTCAGTTAAAAGCCTGGGTAAAGAAACGTGTTTTGGCTTGGAACTTAAAAGGAAAGTAAGGTACATGTCTGGTCAGCCTCAAAGAGCTGCCTTTCCAAAGGTGAGCTGCCACCACTGAGGAAGCCCTCTGCACGCAGGGGCACAGTGAGCTGGGGTAGGGAAAAGAATCTTAACTTTTTTTTGTAGTCGCCACCACCACAGGTGGTGGTGGCGGCTACAAGCATGGACAGCTTCAAAAGGGAATTAGATGAGCATATGGAGCAGAGGTCCATCAGTGGCTATTAGCCACAAGGTATAGATAGGGGCTCTGGGGCAAGTGATGCTCTGTCTTCTTGGTGCTTGGGGGGGTCAACAGTGGGAGGGCTTCTAACGTCCTGGCCCCACTGGTGGACCTCCTGATGGCACCTGGTATTTCTGACCACTGTGTGACGCAGAGAGTGCGTTCAGACGGGGTATTTACAACGGTATAGGTGCCGGTTGGAATCGGTGTATTTACCGGCGTTCACACGGCGCACATCTGCCTTCCATCCCTAACCGTCGCAAAGAGCTTTAAACCGTTGTATTCCGCCACTAGGTCCCCAAGTGGTGTGCAACAGTTGTAATCGCTTTACCCCCCCCGTCTTATCGCTCTCCACCGTTGTAGAGCCACTTCTGTTTGGAAGCCCGAGACTTCCGATTTTTACCCGCCATTTTTTTTAGGTCGGCGATATGCGCTTGAGCGAAGCTTTGCCCCGGCGTTTGTTTTTTTAAAAAAGAAAAGGTCCTTAGTTTAACGTTTTAGAGGAGTCCAGGACCTCAGGGAGGCCAGTTTGCTCTTTAAACTTTAAAGGTACGTCCTCTCTTCAGGGCATGCTTTTTTGGATGGGGTGTTTTGCGCATGCGCGAAGATCGCCATTCTGTGGATGGCTGCCTATGCTCATGCGCAAACTAAGTTAAAAAAAACACAAGAAACCGCCGACACCCGCTGTGTGTGAACGGGCATACAACAATGGGCTCTGCAGACAGGAGGTAAGTGTGATCGCATTTCAGCCGGCATAAACTGCAACGGTTCCAACCAGAACGCACCCAGAGTGTTGGACTGGATGGGCCTTTGGCCTGATCCAACATTGGCGTCTCTTATGTTCTCTTATGTTCTTAACTGGCGAGCAGGACAGTGGCTACCCTGTCCTCACATACGGAAGCAGACAATGGCCATAATCCTACACCAGGAAATTCTCCTGCACTACCCCCATTTTGGGGGGAAACACCAAGGCCTGAACAAGGACACAACTGTTATGCATTAAGTACAAAGGCTCCAAGCCTCTACCTCCTTCACCTCCTTCACAATAGCGCCGATCAACCTTCGGGCCAGAATGATAGTAGTCACTGCCAGGACATTGAAGTCAATGAGATGAAAATTCTGCAGAAAGAAAAATGAATTTGGTTGGTCTGTGCACAGCTATCCTGCAAGAATGAAGAAAACTTTCCTGGCAAAAGAGCTGGTAAGTATATTTATAGTGCTGAACTATGGTTAGGCAGATGTGGCTTCAAATCCTCGCTCAGCTAAGTCATTATCTGGTTGATCACAGGCTATTTTTTTACTTAATTTGTAGTCCGCTTTTCTTGCTAAGGCTCAAGGCAGATTTTAGAAAATAATGCAATAAAGATCAGTATTATACATACAAACAGGGCAATAAAACTGGATTACAAAACTTGAGAACGACTAAATAAAAACATGTAATACAGCCAAAAAACAATATGAAGGAGAAAAACTGCCTACATTTTTTAGGTCTGACTGAACACTTGCTTCTTTACTACTACCCTATTACCATTGTTCCCTGACCTGGATGGCCCACACTAGCCTGATCTCGTCAGTTCCCAGAAACTAAGCAGTGCTGGCCCTGGTTACTGCTTGGATAGGGCCACCAAGGGAGTCCAGCGCTGCTATGCAGAGGCAGGCAATGGCAAACCACGTCTGTTAAGTCTCTTGCTTTGAAAGCTCTACTGCGACTTGGTGTCCCTTTCAACCACATTCTTAATTTTTTTAAAACTTTATTGTTGATAATTACATATACAACAATATTCAATACAAATTCAAAACATGTAAGAGCAAATGAGTAGTACAAATAACAGTATAATGATAACATATTGTGAAAAGTAAATGTATTAACAATCAATATACGACATGTATCAATAAATCAAATGTAATGTATTCCAAACCATATTCAGTATGGTTAAACAAGTATTCCAGGAAAGGAAACCATGTTGAAGTAAAATCTGAGTGCAAAGAATCGTTTTGTCTAGATAAAACAGTCAGCAATTTCGTCCACTAGACAAAATTCACACACTTTGAACAGCCATTCATTACCAGTTAAATGGAGTGTTTCCAAGATTTGGCTATTACAATCCTGGCAGTTGCACAAAGCAGAGCAATTAATTCTTTATGAAGTGTGAGTTGGGGGTAAGTCTCCATGTGTCTAACAGTAAGGAGTCTATAGTAAAAGGTATACGGATAGATGTGATTTCATAAATTTATTGAACAATCATGACATACCACCTAGATAGTATCTTAAAAGATTTTGTTTTGATAGGTGTACGTTTAGATTGAATAAGTAGCGAATGCCAAATAGACTGCCATTGGGGGTAGCTAAGAGTTGTATTTAGATCCTTATGCCACGATGTAGTGTAAGATGGTAAAACTTCATTATAGGGTTCCATAATCATTGTATAGAGAATGGAAATAAGAGATTTATAAGTAGGTCTTGGTGTTTTCAATAAGATTTCAAATTTAGTTAAGGGTCTTGTAAGGCTTAATTTAATTTTTGGTGAACGTATTAAGTGGGCTAACTCTAAGTATTGGAACCATTGAAGTGTTTTGTGAAGTTTCGCATCTAACTCAGCCTTATCTAAAATTAGGCCACAACGTGGTATGTCTATAAGCCTAGTTGGATATTGGGAAATAGAAGGTGCCAAATCTTTCTGTGTTTATCCATATTGAGAGGGTGTTAAGTAAAAAGGGATTATCAAGTATTGTGGCTGGTCTTTCTTTCTTGATATTCTATATGATTTCTTGTAGCAATCTTTCAGATGAATATATTTGCTCTATTATAGTCCAATCAGGTGCCGTATTAGGATTTAACATCTTGATTATGTTAGTTATTTGTGCCACCTCATAATAAGTGGACAATTTTGGAAACACCATGCCACCTTCTGTTGGGAAATTGATTCTAGCCCGCTTAGAATCCCACAAGAAGGTGTTCAATAGTTTCTGCCAGCTTTGCATGAGAGATATCGGTATTTTAATAGGAAGTGAACGGAAAAAAAATAAATTTGGGGAGAGTGAACATTTTGATCGAGTCATAACGTCCTAGCCAGGATAACTGCAAGGGTTGCCAATCTCTAAATTGCGTGCGGATCTTGTTCATGAGTATGCCATAGTTATGAGTAATGAGGTCCTTAAGGTTTAGCGGTATGTTGACGCCTAGGTATCTCCAATCTTTGGAAACCCATTTTAAAAAATAAGATCTTTTCAGGATAGTCCTTTCCATAACAGAAATATTGATTGGGTATATGTCGGTTTTGGATTGGTTAACTCGTAATCCTGAGATGAGACCAAAGGTCTGCAATTCAGACATCGCAGCAGGAAGAGAACTTGATGGGTTGGATAAATATATAACTGTGTCATCAGTAAATAGGCTAATTTTAAATTCCTTGTTATGAGTGTTGATTCCTTTAATATTTGGATTGGTGTGTATCGCTGTCGCCATAGGTTCTAGCGCCAAAGCGAATAGGATGGGTGATAAGGGGCAGCCTTGTCTGGTGCCACATTGGGGTGCAAAGGTTTCCGAGTGAGAATTATTTATTTTTATGTTAGTCTTGGGGTCAGTGTAAAGGGATCGGATTATGTGGCGGAAGCCATCTCCGAATTCCATATGTTCCAATAGCTGATGGAGATAATTAATTTCTAAGGAATCAAACACCTTTTCTATATCTAAAGAAAGAATTATTGAAGGCAACTGTTTTTGACAGCAATAGTGTATTACATTAAAAGTTTTACTGATGTTTTCCGTTATGTCACGGGTCGGAATGAATCCAGTTTGATCTCTATCAATGTATTGTGTTATGATTTTCCCCAATATGACTGCAAGCCAGATTTTAGCATCTTGATTAATGCTTGATTAATGTTATGGGACGGTAGGATTTTGGGTCTAAGGGATCTCTACCAGGTTTAGGTAATACAATAATGGTGGATTCAGTCCATGAATTTGGGATTTTCCCTATGTTCAAAACTTCATTACAGACATCAACAAAGGGCTGTCTAAGGAGGAGTAAGAAAACTTTATAGAATTCAATTGAGTAGCCATCTGTGCCTAGAGATTTATGATTCTTTATCTTTTTGACAACCTCTTGAACCTCTTGAGGTGTAATGGGAGAGTCTAATAGTCTGTCGATTTCGGACCAATTTCAGCCTCACCAATTGAAGTTGAGGAAACGGTTCTGCGTCAGCCTCGTGCACATCATTCCCAGTCGGTGATTTCCTGGGAAAGTGATCAGTCGGCACCAGCCTCTCGATACCATCGATCCTGATTGCCCAGAGGCCACGAATATCGATATCGACCTGAGAAGTGCCCAGATTACCGTCGTTCCAGGCCCATGCTCTCGTACTCGCCTAGATGGGAATTGAGACCACACTCTCCAACCGACTTTGACCCACTGATGCCGTGGGATCGTAGGGGGCAGATGCCTTGCTGGTTCACATCGTACCCAATGTCGGCATCCATGCCATGGCTGACGCCTAGGCCACAGTCGGACTGGGACCGTGGATCAAGTTGTTCACACTCTCCCCACCGTAAATCTAAGCCTTCCGCATCACAATCCAAAGCCGCAGAGGAAACTCGTCGCCCACCCTCTCCTCTCCACACCAAAAGTCGCCCCGATACCGGATATCCCTGCAGCTCCGGCATCGCCTGTCGTATCATTCATCTCCGATACCAACACTGATGATTCAGAAAGCCCCGAATCACCTAAAGATCCATCACCAAAGGCTACAGTATCGGACAATCTGCCAATCTCGCCTTCTGAGGATCTCTCTTCATACGGAGATTTGGTCAAGAGGATGGCACATTCCCTGGCATGTCGATCGTCCAACCCCAACCCTCGGTGTTGGATGCTGTCTTCGATGTCGTGCAAAATGATACCTCCACCTCGATCGCTCTCCCGATGTCGACCATTCTTCTACAGGCGTCTAAGGCCCTGTGGGACAAGCCTTCCTCTACTCCAGTGTCATCCAGGCGTTTGGATCACATGTATCGGGTCCAGGAGACGGGGGCAGAATTCCTCCATATCCACCCCAAGCCCAACTCCTTGGTCGTGTCATCCACCTCAAAGAGTAAATGGACCCTTGCTACCCCTTCAGATAAGGAGAGCACCAGTTAGACTCCATTGGTCGTCGTTTTTACTCGGCGGGAGCCCTCGGCATTAAGACATCTAATTATGTCGCTTGTATGGGCCGCTACCAGTACTCACTCTGGGAACAATTTACCGACTTTCTGACCTCAGTGCCTGATGACAAACGTCAAGAGGCCAGAAAGCTGCAAAAGGAAGGCTTGCTGCTCTCTAAACAAATCATCAACTCATCCAAACATACTCTGGACACGTTTTCAAAAATAATGTCATCTGCAGTTGCCCTCCGTAGGCACTCCTGGCTGAGGACCACCGCATTCCCTGCTGATACCAGGGTGTACTCCCTGCTGATACCAGGGTGTACTTGTCTTTCGATGGCCAAGGTCTCTTCCATGCGTCCACTGATTCGACGCTCCAGGAAATGGACAAAAGCATTAAGACCTCGAGGTCGCTGGGGGTCTCTGCCCCCTCTAAGCCTTTTCGTCCTTGCTCGTGGTCTCGTTACGGCTCCAGACACCAATACGCTAAGCTGTCGCCGGATGAAGGTTACAGGCCATGTTGGTCCCCATCTGCGAATAGGCAGCAGTACCAGGCCCGACAGATACGGCTCTGGACAGCAGATTGTCAGACCAAAGCAACCCAAACCGGGCAAGCAGGGCCTTTGACTTCCGCCTGTCTATCTCTCCCGACCCTACCCGCCTCCATCCATATTTACAGGCCTGGGCCACCATTACGTCGGACCAATGGGTCCTTTCCATCTTAGCCAAGGGCTATTCCATCGAATTCATGGAACTCCCACCTCTTCCTATAGTCGTCATCACTACCCCGTTGTTGTTCCTCCTCGAGGTCACCATACTTCTTTCAAAGGGTGCTGTAGAGCCCGTGCCTCTAGATCACCAAGGACTTAGTTTTTATTCCCGATACTTCGTGGTTCCCAAGAGGGACGATGGGCAAAGGCCGATCTTAGACCTTCACGGTCTCAACACCTTTATAAGGTACCAAAAATTCAAAATGACA